CCCCCCCTTTTTGCAGCGGTCTGAGCGTCCATACATCACATCCATACACTGTGTATAGACGAGAGATCACTACAGAACATTCCATTGCTGCTGCAGGGGAGGACACAGGCTGGAGGGAGCGCTGTGGCAGCAGCTTGGAACTTCTGGTGATTATAACTTTGTTAGAGGGAAACAAGCAGTCCGTCCTTGCAGTGCAGGGGTAGGCCCACTGCAAGGGTTAAAGTATAATTAAGCTCTCATTTTTTTTTTGCATAGATCAACTGCTAGCAAGCAGTAGATCTATGCAAAAAAGTTACCAAAAAGGTAATTTACCTGTTTCCGCCGCTTGCTCCCAATTTGGAGCTTCTCTAGCAGCCGAGTAGGATGATGGGGCGGGCGCATGCGCAGAAGAGATCTTCGTTGGGGAAAAGAGTAGAGACACATTGTAAGTCAATGCACGCAGCTGGGAGCGTGCACGTCACACAGACACCGTGGTACACAGAAGACGCAGCAGTCAGCGCTGGATCAGATACCGGCACCAGCACTGGAGGGATTGCTGAATACAAGTGGAAGGAACATGATGATCAGATCAAAAGGCATCATTTAAGGTAAGTCCTTAGAGCAGCATGGTGGGGGTGGGAGGGGAGAATTGTGACTTTAATGTCACTTTAATAAAAAGTTTTCCTGGAGATCCTCTTTAACTACCTCCCGGCCAGCCGCTGTGTATACACGGCCTGCCGGGAGCTTCTTGCATGTAACTGGGCGTGTATACATGTCCTGTTACATCCGGCAATAAGGGGGTTTCTCAGCCCCCTCTGTGATAGCAATAAAGTTAAGTGGAAAAAAAAATAGTACAAACATTTAAAGTCCCCACCCCTACATACACGCATGTAAACATGCATCAGGTGCGCATACCTGCGAAAACGACGATTGCACCCAGTAGGCCGCACATGTTACATATCACTGCAAACGTCGGAGTGAGAGCAATAAGTCTAGGGCCATCAATCACTAATAACACTAAACTGATGAGCGGTAAAAGCTTTTAAAGCGTCGCCTATGGCCAATTTTGGGTATGCTAGTTTTTTGCGAGTGCGCGCAATTTTTACGCTTGACATGTTTGGTGTCTATTTACCCGACGTGACCCGATCTTTTATATTTTACCAAAAAAGTGGGTAATAGTTGTTTTATAGCATAATGTAAAAAAAACCTTTTTTTTTTTCTCAAAATTTTCAGTAATTTCTCCTGAATATAGTAAAAAATAAAACCCGCAGTGGTGATTAAATACCACAAAAAGAAAGCTCTATCTATCCCCAAAAAATGGTATAAAATTCATTTCAGTACAGCGTTGCGTGACGGAATAAATGTCAATCAAAGTACCGTAGCGCTGAATACTGAAAAATGGCCTGGCCAGGTAGGGGATCTAAACACCTGGTCTTCAAGCAGTTAAGCATATGAACGCTGCTGTGAGTTCATTCAAGGCCAACTCCAAGGAAATGAAAAGTGTTCCACTGCGGTGGGGCTTACCCAGCACTGCAAGAGTTAACTGCTTGTTTATGCCAAGGGAACAGGAAAAAGCTGTTTCACTTACCTGATCCCCGCACACCTGGAAGTCAGCTCTCTCCTCTTCTTCCACTCTGTTTCGGCGGTGGACTCCCGGCGTCCTCGCGTACAATGCGGTTCTATGGAGCCTGCATTGGACTTGAAGTCAGTGGTCCTTACAGTCCTGGAGAGAAGATACTGATCTAGCATCCCTGAGTGAGCTGGCAGGAGCGGGGATCAGGTAAGTGAAACATCATTTTCTTGTCCCCTAGTCATAAACAAGCGAGTAACCCTTGCATTGCGGAAGCAGCCCCACTGCAAGGGAAAACTTTTATTTTCCCTGGAGTTGGGGTTTAAAGAGGAACTTGTACCCCTGTGTTCTTTTCCCTCTTTAGTTGGCTATTAGGGTTATGTGTGTGTGCTTGGTAGGAACAGCCCAATCAGATGCAGCCAAGGCATTACTCACTTCTTTGTGACATGTTTCTGTGGGGTGGGAATGCCCCTGCCGCAGCTGATTGGCACCGGGTGGGGATGTGTCACTGACAGTTTTGCATGGGCACAGGTGAACTCCATTCACACCAAGCCTATGCACATCTCTACTGGCCATACACTGGTCAAATTTCAGCTGAGCACTGTTGAAGTGGCAGTTTGTGACCCAGTCGTCAATTTTTCAATCAGCTGCAGTCACTGTTCTAGTTATCTGACAGTGGCTGTCACAATACAGTAGGGGGGCCAGCTGCAAAAACCCAGAATAGACAGTTGGCTCCCTGATGTGCATCAGGGCATGCAAAGTACTGTACCCTGAGGCTTCCTGAAATGTGTGACATTTGTATCCCAGGAGGCTGCAGGCAACTGGGGTTTAGGAGTAAAGTGGTATAAAGTGGGTAGGGATGGTGAAGGTCCACTTTAATACATCCTTAAATGTGTTTTCTTAAAGGGGTTCTAAGCCCTCCTGTTTTTTTGCCTATACAGGTGAAACTCGAATAATTAGAATATCGTGCAAAAGTAATTGCTGCAAAAGGGGCCCAAACCAAGTACTGAGTACATATGCATGCTTGTACTTTTCAGAGGTCCGATATTGTTCTATGTACAATCCTTGTTTTATTGATTGCATGTAATATTCTCATTTTCTGAGATTGTGGATTTGGGGTTCTTGGGGTTTTCATGAGCTGTAAGCCATAATCATCACAATTATGACAAATCACGGCTTGAACTATCTTGCTTTGCATGCAATGAGTCTATCTCATATATTAGTTTCACCTTTTAAGTTGCATTAGTGAAATAAATGAACTTTGCGCGATATTCTAATTATTCGACTTTCACCTGTATCTACTGCTATCAAGCAGATTTAACAGCGGTTTAAACTTACCTTGTTTTTCGCTGCGCGCTTCCGCCCGAGAAAACAAAACTGTTCAAAGCATCTTGGGGCGGGTGCATGCGCAGATCGGGGTCTCGGCTGGGAGACAAGCAGAGACGCAAGGTAAGTCTATGGACGTGTGCACCCGCATGCAGACAGTGTGGGATCAGAAGTGCCAGCAAGCAGAGAGGAGTCAGCGCTGGATCGGAGAGCCGCCGCACAGCTGGAAAGACAGATGAAAACATCAGGAAAGAAGAAGAAGATCTGATTAAGAGACATAATTTAAGGTAAGTGCTGACCTTAACATTGGGGGGAGGGGAAAAAAGTTATCCTTTTAATTAGGGATGCACAGACACTTTTCGAGTACCAGTGCAGATACTTGGCATTTTCATGAGAACTACCAGGGTTGCAGCTGGGACCTGGCTCTGGCGCTACACCACTGTCCTGAAATCATTAGTCTGTATTGTTATAGAAAAACTGTCACATGACAATAAACAAAAATGTATCAGTACTCGTACTTGTAAGTACTCGGCAGGTACCAGTACTCGTACTCACAAAACTGGTATCTGTGCATCCCTTTGTTTTATATTTATGAAAAAAACAACATCGTACATTAAAACAGAGATATATACAAATCCCGGGAGCTCCGTGTGCTTCTTACAAATGACAGCTGCCTCCTAACTTTTGAATTTTTCTCTAGTGTAGTCTTGGAGCTCAAAAGTATCGGTACATGTACTTGTACTTGCACTGAGTACTCTACTTGGTATCTGTGCAACCCTACTTTTAATGTCACTTTAAGTGCAAGCAATATAAGTAGCCTTGTATCAGCTATTGCAGTTCCTGTACAGCAAAGCTCAGACTGAGAGAGAGAGAATCAGCACAATGAGCTAGTCAGGTTTGCAGCAGTACAAGGAGCGTGTTGATAGGAGGAGAGGGCTAAGTGACAGATGAGCTCATTAGTGTGCTGCTTGTCCTTTTACAGACTAGTCACAGAGTGGAGAGAAAACCTGTAAGTGAAATTGCTCCATTCACACCTAGGCATCAGTGTTTTTGCATATATTAGCGCATGCTTTGTCTAGCATTTCGTCTAGCGCGTTTTGCACATGCATGTAGTACATGAAGATGCATGTTTTAGCGAGCAAATTGATATACATTGCGGTGAATGGACAAACGTGCACACAAATGTGCAAAACGCTTGTGTCACGCATTTCCAGGCATTTCTATTGACGTCTATGGGGCCAAAGGTGCTGTGATTTACCCCCCCCGGCGTTTTATAGCTTGTGACAAAACTCTCAGGTGTGAAGAGGGGCCATTGAAATGAATGGGATTTAATGTGTTGAGATTTTGGTTGCACTTAAAACCTCTAGGTGTGAACAGGGACTTTTACAGACAGCCTGTAGTAGGAGGCTTATACAAGACTAGTCACCCTGCACAAGGAGAGAGTGACTGGTCTATGTTATAGGAAAGTCTTGCACAGAGTTGTTTTCATATTGAATGACTTCACAGATCCGGAAGAAATCCACAAGTAGACTCAACTAAGAATACGTATGCCTCTTGTAATTGGACAACCTTTGTTTGGACTGTATTTCAGCTTTTAATAGGTGGCTTAAACATTTTAGAAAAAGGTAGTGTATGAATGGAGGGGACTGGGTCTGGCTTATTTTACTAGGTGGCCCCAACATTAAAACAAAGGGAGTGCGTGAGAATGGGGGTGTAAGAAATGATGGCGAATAGGTATGTCAATCCGAAAACGTATTTTAATTATTTTACCATACTTGTTCTTGCCCCTTTTCACATGATGTTGCATCTTCTTCTTTTTTTAATGCATTAGTAATGTGCCGATTGTTGCCTTTTTGTCCTCTAGTGGGCCTAGATGAAGGGACGACGCTCACACACTGCTACTGGGTAGAGCAGTGGTATTGTCACCCTTATGTGCATGCTTCCACTGCCGGACTCTAGTCTACCTGCATCAGTAAAAAGTGAAGAGGAGTGATGTCACTCACACAGATGTGATGCCACTGACTGTGATCTGCCCACAGCCCTGGTAGCGCACTGGACTCCGACAGTGGGGCAGACACATGACCCCTTAAACGGGGAATACATTAAGGTGTGTTGATCGATTTAATATAAATTTGCTCAGATATTTAGATATATTTATTCCTTTTTTAGATAATCTAGTAATAGTCAGTCACATTTCACCTGATTTGTTCTGTAAAGTTAAAGTGACACCAAACACAAGAAATCTTGAAAATTTATTTAAGTACGTTAAGGCCTCATTCACATGTGGGTAACTTGGGGTGTACACGTACGTGCGGCATGCACCCCCATATTGGGCCATTCCCAGGAGGGACAGGTACTGCGGGTGATTGCGTGCAGCAGCCTGTTTTTCCCTATGGGAGGACACAGCAGTACGATATCATACGCACACCCAAACTGCACATCCGGATGTGCAGGTCAGGTGTGCGCATGACAGTGTATAGCAGCGTCCTCCCATAGGGAAAAACAGGCTGCTTTACGCAGCACCTGTCCCTTCCGGGAATGGCCCGGTACGGGCGTGCATGCTGCACAGACATTTAAGCCCCGAGTTAGCCACATGTGAATGAGGCCTAACTATTAACAAAAAATGTATCTTATTTGTGCATCACTCAGCTGTAGAACCTCAAATCATCTCTGAATTGGTGCTGACACTGTCCTTCCTACTGGAGGGTGGCAACTTTTTGTTCTCCATGGTCCCTGTGAGTGTTGTAAAGAAGCCACTGCTCCAAGATTGCTCCTGTGATGGTTTACAATCTCAGGTTTAGTTTACTAATTTGTATTGAGATTGTAGTCCATCACTGGCGCGAGTATGGAGCGGTGGCTACTTTATAACACACACAGCGACCATGTGGAACAAAAGTAGCCACCCTCCAGACGTAAGGACGGTGTCAGCACAAATTCAGAGATGATTGGAGGATCTACAGCTGAGTCTTACACAAATAAGATACATTTTTGTTAATAGTTTGGCCTCATTCAGGCCTCCTAGGTAAAGGGTGTTCAGGGCATTTAACCCTTTCGATGCCACAGCTGTGTTTTGCATATTTGTTCTTGGGCATGTTAACATACACAATTTTGGGCCAGAAGTTTGATTAAAGGCTGGGCATTTTCTACCTTCATACATTCTCCCCCCACGCTTGCCTGCCAGCATCATTGCCGCCGGTGCCCGAACTGATCCTCCGCCCGAACTAACTGGTTGCAGGGGAGGAGATTGAGGGCAGAGGAGTCATAGGCTCATGGCCTGCCGCAGGGCACGGCTGGGGTCATGGCCTGCCGCAGGGCACGGCTGGGCTCAAGCACGCACATGTGCCTTTTTATAGCTATTTTTTGAGACCCTGGAGAATAAAATTATGGCAGTCACAATTTTTTATGTCACACAATATTCGTAAAAGTCAGCATTTTAGTGAATGGCTAGTGTGAACAGGCCTTAACTTACTGTTGTATCTATGGGACAAGCAATAAAGGGAAATGTCCCCAAAAGAATAGACAGCTAAAAATAAACCTGACAGCCTAACTGTTCTATACTATACCCAAACTGAAAAAAAAAAGTTTTAGCTTTACATACATTTTAAAGGCTAGTTTTAGGGAAGAGAACAGTAATTTTGAGATACTGAGGGCAGTTCTGATGCTTTCACCTCTGCTTAAAACCAGGAACTTCAGGACAGAATGGTTTTACGGAAAATGTTAAAAAACACCAACAGTTGTATTCTACAGTAATGGTAATATTTTATTTCTGATCAGTTGCCCTGGGTTACAGCACTTTACACATCATCTTTGCTTTTTGGAATGCCCTGCCCTTCCCTGAGTGGCTGTACTGTATATTTTTGGTTCTAGCGAAGATTAACACTAACCCATACACTTTTATTTTTCTCTCATTCAGAGAAAATCAATATAATCTCCGCTACTGGCTATTGTCATCAGACAGTTTCACCACCCGCGGCTTCCTGAATACCAAATAGTGACTACATGTGATAGGATGCAGTTGCTGTTCAGCCGAAAATTTGCTCAGTCAGTTTTTAAATCTGCTTTTGGCGAGCCAGGTAGTGCCGACGGGGCCACCCAGGGCTTTAATTTCATCCAAATCAACAGGAATTGGACGGAATTCAAACCCTGTATGACTAGCTTAACTTTCCTATACATACTTATACTGCCATAGCTGACATAGATGGTTATGTATGCAAGCACTTTCTGTGCTTCCCTATCCCCTGCAGGATAAATAAACTTTTCATCTCTTAGGTACTACAAATGCAGGCATGTTTTTCTGTGGCTTTGCTTTGACTTGATTTTTATAGCCTTAGCAAAGCTGGAGGTAAAGATATTGCAAACTGATTCTCCTTAAGTGTCTATTGATAGTTGAAGATACTGTGCACAAAGGGCAGCTCTGTTCCATGCGTTTTTTGAATCTTTAAAGCTTGCCAGTTGTGTGGCCTGATGTGCAGTTTGTCTGTCCTTTGAAAACTGTTCTAGAGCGTGTCGGAGAGCATACACCCTTGTGCACACACACAGTTTATAATGAATGCTGTGGGGATGGGGAATTGAACTGGCAGAATCCACAAGTGCTCAGGTTGAGGTGGTGAATCAGTAGGTACCGTCGTGTAGTAAAGTATGTTGGTCTGTACTGGATCTGCCCTTCTAAGATTAAAATAGCTATTCAAGTCTGTAATATTTCAAAGGAAGCACTAATTTCATATAGACCTAGCTTTGTATAAACTACAGTGCAAACATGCCTTGTATATACTTTGTATACCTTTTTTTTTTTTGTTTCCAATTTCTAATCTCATACACTTTACATGGACTGTCAATTGCTTTTCAAATGATCATGTTTATATACATGGCAAATGTACTTTTCATGCTTAATAATTTAAGTAAATGTAGCAAGCAAATACTAAGCTTTTAAATCATCTGAACAATTCTTTCATTATGATTATTTCATAGAATGTGACTTATTTTGCGATCTGAAAGCATTTTCTGTAGTTTCAGGAGTAGCAGTATAAATGCATGCAAGTTCATAGCATGATATTTCACTGGCGCTTTTGTTCCTTGCATAGGAAGTCTGAGGATGTCTATGTACAGTCATATGTTTCTTGTTTTCTCATGCAGTGACTGCTGGAGGTTCGTCTTTGGTTAAATTTGTATTTCTTGTGGAGAGACCTGGCAGATGTCCCAAGTGAAAGAACCTTTTCCTCCAGGGCCTGTAGGGCCTGAACATGATGCTTCAGCTGAAGACAGCCTCTTGATCTCCCTCCCCTTGGGTAAATCTCTGAAACATTTATGTGCCTGTCTTGTATTTCACACATTGGTTTTATATTTAACTGAATTTCTCCTTTTTATATAAAATTAACACCATAAAGTACTACATTGAACTCGCCTACTTTTAGGAGCTGCTCATAGAGACTGGCAAACAGTAATTTTTCTTTTTTAAGATGAATTCCAGGTAGATCAAAAAATACAATCTTATCCATTTATTGGTATTTAATAAACATAATTTAATATATTTCTAAATACAGATGACAAAAGTATCTACCTCTCTCCTCCGTATCAGCATGTAATCCTCCAAGGAGCAGCACTAAAACTGGCAGATAGAAGTTCTATTCTGTAAATCAGGCAGGCTCTGCTGCATTGTACAATGCTGTCCATCTAACCCTGGAAGCTTCCTGAGGGTGATGTCTCATCAGTGTGCTGTCACTTGTTTGTTGTCCAGTCAAAGGCTGGGTGGACCTTTGAACAGACTGTATTATGCAGCTGCAGTGTAGCCTTTAGGGAGGTGATAGAGAGGCCAGGTCCTGGATTTGCTGTCAAGCAGGGGTTTGGCCCCATAGCATTGGTTGAAAAGACATACAGAGGGGAATTGATCAAAACTGGAGCAGACACAATCTGGAGCAGCTATGCATGGCAACCAATCAGCTGCTCCCTTTCATTTTCAAATCCTAACTGAACAAACTAAAGAGCGAAGCTGATTAGTTGGTTGCCATGGGCAACTGCTCCAGATTTTGTCTCCTCCAGTTTTGATAAATTTCCCCCTCCGTATATGAAAATCAGATGTATATTTAGCTGTTTTACTAGGACTTCAACATTCTTATTTGGCCCCAAAATTAAAAAGGGGTGCTCAGTGTATGCTTAATGTCAAACCTGTCTAAATGTATTTCACCCCCAAGTGGACTCATTTTAATGTTCGAAGTCACAAAGAACTTTATAAGCTATGAAACCACACAAATATCTACAATATGTCTATGGTAAACCAAAGTTTTACAGCATTTTTTGTGGTCAAGATTCAAATCACTATAGTGAGCATGAGAGGCAGCTAGCTTTTTTTGTTTGGTTTTGGAGACCTTAACAATGGCAGGCTCCGTATTTCTCCCATGACAAGTTTTTTTAATTTTACCTACAAGTTAAACAAAGGAAAGAAGATATATCATTGAATAGGAAGCTGGGCGAAGATGAGGAAAACTTGTCAAGTTTTTAAGTAAGAGATCTGTTGACAGTCTAGTCGGGAACACTCATATCTTTAGTTGACGGTCTGTTTTCAGTGTGTACCCAGATAAACCTCTATTGATATGGGGATGTTTGCAACACAGGCTAAGCAGGCTGAAGCTAGAATTATAAACCTGCATCTGTTCAGAAGATTAGTTTGAACAAGTTTCATCATTTTAATTAGCTGCCCTCAGCTCAAAATTACTGGGACTGAAGATCTCCAGGCACAGCATCTAAACAAAAATGTGTGTAATTTTCTGGAATAGAAGAGCTGTTCTCTAATGTAGATATCATAGACAAAGATATCTTTGTTACTGAGTCATTTCAGAGGTCAGCAGACAGTAGCATTTTCATAATATCTTTGCTGTTCAAATATGTAAAGTGCATTTAAACTGCAGAAGTTCAACTGTGTTCTCCCCGGCCCTATTTTATCAGACACTCTACTGTCTGTACTGTTTGCCTGGCTTCTGCTTACAAGATGCAGTTGTGTAGTATTGTCAAGAGTGTTGGCCTGTTAAGGTGCTGTGTGCTGCCACTGTACAGAGCTGGAAGCTTGACATTTATGCTCAAGGAGCAGTGCTGCTTTCTATGTGACCCTTTTACTGCCCCCTCCCCACTTTGGGACAATGCAGCATTAGGCCAAATCATTGACTGTTCTTGTGTCTGTGAAGGTTCTCATTCATCCAGGTCATGGTATATCTGTAAAAAATAAGTCAAGGTAACTGGACTTGCTTTATTTTTCTTGAAGACGTTTCACTGGTCATCCAACCAGACTGTTCTTGTTTCTCCAGTACTGCTAGACCGGGCAGGTGTTGTGTGCTAGGATGGAAGGCTGGGATAAGAGGCAACACGCTAGGTAGATTGGAGGAGGTTATATGGGGGAAAATCGAATGTGGATCTTGATTTTTGGATAGAATAGGGAAGGATTAGAACCACTGTCATGTTTTTACTGCTGTCTGGGGCTCTGTTAGAAATATTTCTCTTATCTTATTGTCTGGCTTATAATGGTTTTACGAGACAGGTAAAGTGAAAAAAAAACTCTGCAACAGGGACACAAAGAGCATTGAAAAATGTTTCTGTTGGAGATTTAATCACTTCCTGTTCGGTAAAGTTGTTGTTAGCAAGAGAGTAAATCTGGCAATACATTATGTGCATTACGCCCGGTTCTTCAGAAACTGGCCATAATTCGCACAGTGGGTGCCGCCGTTCAACCAGCATGAGCCAGAAGGAGCCGTTTGGAAAATCTTCGAACGAACAGAGCCAGCAGCCAATGAGCTGCTGGCTCTGTTTGGGTGTTCTTATGTCGGAATACAAAAGAAACAACAGGGATTCCTCGATCAGCCCTTGTAAGCGTTGATGGAGGAATCAATCAGGAATCAGAACGTGGGTTGAAGAAAAAAAATAGAACAGTGCGTGTCCAGCTTTAGTGAGGAGAAATGTTTGTAACGTAGCATCAGAGAGCATATAACCTGACGGGGGTTCTAAATCATCTTGATATTCAAAGCTAAAAAATAAAAAGGTTTTGTCTGAACATACACTTTAAGGTAAACAGAATAGACTGTCTGTTTTTTTTTGCCTTCAATACCATTGGTAGCTGATTCCTTTCACCCATTGCTTGGAATTCCTCTTTAATAGTCTAGAAACCATGCAAAGGAATATGTTAAAGCAGACCAAGTATCAGACATATGTTAAGTTTTTATATATGCACAGATATGGGTTTAAAGTTTTAGGTGGTTTCATGTATTTAGGTTATTAGGACAATCCTTAGGAAACTTTTAGAAACCTTTTTTTTTCTTCAGATAGGGAGAGAAAAGAATAGCAACAAGAAGAGACTTTTTGTTACACACCCAACCTGTCTTTCCCTTTCAGTCCCTCACACATATTCAGTAGTTCATACTTTCAGTGTGTATTCTAGATTTTTAGATCCAGCTAGGCAATGTTTATTATTTTTGCATTAGCTATGCAGTTGTTCCAGACTTTCATGTTCTCTCTGTATATAATCTTCCAATGTTTTGAAAAACAATGGTGTAACAACACAGAAACTAATCCTTGCAGAAGGCATTTTGCTCAAAAAGGATGCATTATTTTATTAACATTTAAAAAAAAACCCAGCAAATCAGTGATACCATCTAAACTAGGCGCAGAAACAGTTGATTTTTGTTTTTTTTGTTCCTATCATTTCTGCCTAAAGTGACTGTCTTTTAAAAAAAAAAGAGAAGCGTTGTGAATCATTGCCTCCTATGAATCACTGTCTTTGAGAAATTGTTAACTATCTCACATTAAACTGCTGTGTTGTCATGTAGCTGTTTGCCAGCTCAAACTTGGTAAAAGTTCTAATTTCGCTTTTAAGCTTTAGGCTGGGTTCACACCTAGGCGTACGGAATATGCGCGTTTGCTGAGCGTTTTTAACCGCGATTTGATGTAAAAGGAACGCGCGACAAACACGCGTTTCCGAGGGCTATCCGGGTGTATCCTAATGGATACGCGCAGCAAATACGCCCCAAAGAAGCTCCTGTACTTCTTTGGGCGTAGGGCGTTTGCAGCGTGTAAAACTCCCAGGTGGGAACCATGCCCATAGGCAATCATTGGTTTTCACCTGTTAAGCGTTTTACAGCGCGTAGGAACGCGCTGTAAAACGCCCAGGTGTGAACCAGGCCTTAGACTTTGTTTAGTAAACATTATTTAGCATTAAAGGAAACCCATAATTAAAAAGGTATTTATAAACTGCCATTGTTGTGACCCTCTTAAAAATTAACAGTGGACTGGCTGTTGTACTCATCCTTTCAGAATTTTCTGCAATACTGATCTGGAACAAGAATGCAAATTAGGAGTTTTGACTTTACTAGCTACAGTATATGCTTGTCCTAGCTCAATGACTCAGAGTACTGAACCAAGAGACAGACAGGAAACTAGCATTCTTAGAAGAGGGTCAGCAGCGGTAGCATTTATCCCTTATAGGTTTTCTTGAAATATGTATGTTGGAGCATGTTGGAGTACACAAAACAGATTTTTGTGATTTACATGTATACATGTTTTTTTTTTTTTAAATCAGGACTAGCAGTTATTTACCCCTGGATCAGATCTGGTAATATGATTGTACTGTGTCTATTGAATTTGCAATAATGTTGTTTTTTTCTGATATTTGTGTGTGTGTGTGATATATAAAATACATTTTCCAAAACCAAAGGAGTGTTGCAGTATAATCCAAAGATCCAAAAATATTTTATGGGGTGAGAAAAAAATTATGTTAAAGGTTTACTGCAAATTTGGGGTTCATGAACATGGGTGTATGAGGTAGGTTGCCAGAACCGGCAGCTAAAAACACGCATGTATCAGAAACTCTAGGGTAGTGATGGCGAACCTTTTTGAACCCGAGTGCCCAAAGTGCGACGCAAAATCAATTTATTTATCTCAAAGTGCCAGCGCTGAAAATAATTTTAGTATTGTATTGCAGTTTGGGCGCTCGGGTTTAAGAAACGTTCAACATCACTGCCTTAGGCAAAATAGGGAAACCCGCATATTCAAACATTAAGGCCCCATTCACACTGAGCGACATCCTTTTAAAGGGAACAGCTTATTTGCCTTTTAAAAATAAACCGCTTTGCATTTGGAGGAAAAGAGGTTTTTAACCTCTGCATACAGAAAGACTTCTTCACAGCAGAGCTGTGATCATGTGGAGTAGAATTCCTCACGAGCTAGTTCTAGCCAGTGGATTGTTTTAAAAAAAAAGCTACATGCATTACTATGTGCACAAAACATAGCTGGCTATTAACATTTATAA